TTGCGAGAACCACTTCAGTGAGTACAAGAGAAGATCATATCCTCCAGATATCTCGACCATTCGCGATTTCTTTCCAGTTTTTTATACCAACCTTCTATACGCCTTCTTTGAGCTCGTCAATCCATTGTGACCGTGGTATGTTCCTTGCAACAACAAGTTTTGACAACAAGTTGATAAATATGTTATAATAATTTCAACTTTTATAAGTTGAGTTAGCACATGAGCTCTACTTTATACGCCACTGGGCTATAACATATACTRATCCAAACAAATTTTCGTAGAMTCTATCTTCCGAAGTTTTGTAGCTTGATTTTGTTATTTTCGAGTAGCGCCCATTTCTTATTGAGTAGTATTGACTTGAACAGGACATACACGAACGTGTATGATCGATTGTCTGCTTGTATTCTATCTTCGATGCTTGGGCTTCTTGAGCTATCGCTACTGTGGTCCAAACACAAGTAAGTAAAGACTCTTAAGATAAAGTATCATACGACCTAATAGATGAGAGCGTAAAGGGATCTATTCTATTAACGGTTCGGTCTCTTCCAAGCAATCTTAAATTATATTCCTCCATAACTTCTCTAATTACATTAATGGAGACCGCAATGAACTATCGAGAGAAAATGGTGATGCRAAATTATCAATCGAATATTAAGGAAATGACTTTTCTTTAACCATCTACTTAAGCTACTCGAATAGCCCTTCCTCGTATACAGAAACAACAGTGTTTTGTAGACGTTGATCGTTGATTTTAACTTCAAGGAGAATGACTATTTTTTTTGTATGAACCGGAACTTAAGTTGTGTTCCATTACTGAATTATCTGACTTTTGTTTTTTGTTATTTAGAAAGTTTCTTGAAGTCGAAGAAAGGCAAAGATAATGGCTTGAGATTAGGTTAGAGCTATATAGTGATCTAGTATAGTCGCCTACTTGAAGCGAAACCGCCTGCCAGGATCTTTTCAAGAGATCTTTCCGACATAAGACAATATGCCGACCAGACTTCGGATACAACTAACTTCAGACATTCACTGACCGCCATTCACAGCGGACTCAAAAAGACCTACACCGACTCCCTTTCGTTAACTTGCATACTTATAGTCAAACCACCACCCATTGCAAACGACGAGCTCGAGTTACCGCGAGAATCGAAAGTGCCACTTGCACAGCTTCGTTCTGGATACTGTAACCTGTTACTTCTACTAATTCGCTATCGAAACCGACATACCAAATATACATATGTACATATATCCAGCATGCAACGAGTGCCCGCATGACTCTAACCACATCTTTGCCTGCCTAGCTAACCCTACACATCTGACACATTTCTACCTATGGTACAACCCTTCGAAACAGCATGTTTCSTGGGGGCCTATTCTGTAACTCGATTCGAAATAAAATTTACTCGAATTCGGATTTTTTATATTCCGTAACTCGATTTTCGGATTTTCAAGCCAATTTTCGAATAAAATATTCGTTAGCTTTTGAGTTGTAGAGAGCAAAAATGAAAATTGTACGTATTTATTCTGGCACAGGGTGGTACAACTTTCGAAAAATTATAAAGTAGATCCGAATTTCGAATAGAATACATTTACGAATCGAGATACAGAATAGGGCCCCTGGACTTACCGTTGGATGAACTCGATGACAGCTTATTTGAATCTTACCATCTTAATGGGGACTAGTTAATCGTTACAACAACAACAACATGGCTCAGTGATGCATAAGGCAACAATGCTGTTGATTGCTATGGCAACTTTTTTATATGCGTAGGTTATAATAGCCTCGTTGCAAATAAAAATGCTCATATCCGTTGCATGGATAAAACTGTATATGTGTTTATATATTTAAGAATTGGAAAATTATTTAAATATTACTTCAATAAAAGCATAAATAGACTCTTAAATTCTAAAATGTGTGCAGAAAATGCAAAAATCAACATTAAGCAGATGCTATAAACTAAAACTAAGCGTATGCGCGCACATGAAATCCGCTGAGTGTGTTGGTGACGCGCATGGAATGTGTGGCTAAAACTGCAGCGCTGATGAATATACAAATGAAGTGTCATTAATTATGAGGTAATTTAAAAAAACAAAAAAAAAAAAATTTGAAAAATATTAAAGCGTTAAAGATCACAAAGTTCACAGACAAAATTACGAAAAACATTGGCATAAAAAAACTTAGACTATACATACATATATGCATACAAGTACATACATACATTAGGCTAAATGTAAAACAAAACAATAAGATGCATGCATTCTATATAATATAAAAAGATAAGCATATAGTTTAACTATGTAACTGTATAAGATGATTTCAAATTTTCTAATATACTTTGTGTGGATGTCTGCGCTTGCGCATCATTGCTTGGCATTGTTAAAAAAGTTTTTTGAAACAACTACTTTTATTTTTTGATTTGCTACTAACGCTAACAGTACATACCTATATAAACATATTTTCTATTCTGTTATAAATACACATACACATACATATGTATCATTTTATACATACATACATACATATACAAAATTTGTATAAAGCTACGAAAAAGCGTGAACACTATGCGCTGATTAAATTCGATTTAATCAATAACGATTCGCTTGGTTTAACTAGCACTGGCGTGTGTAGCACGACTTATGTTATTTTAAAAAAAAAAAAACTATACGCAATTTTCATTATACTAAGTACTACTGTATTGAACAGTGGCGCACCGATGTCAATTTCTGCTCGTCGACCATTTCCTTAGCAGACAGTATACTCTTAATGCTCTCAGCCTCCTTCATCCAGATTTCCAACTAAGAAATATTTGACAGTATTAAATTAAATTCCTTATTGCCATAAATAACAACGAATTACCTGTTGTAGCAGCAAGTTGCGGCGCTCGCCTTTCGGTTCGTTGTTTGTGAACGGCACCAGCATGCCCAAAGCGTTGGTGTAAGCCTCCAAAGCTGCCTTGAATTTACGTTCGTACAAATAAAGCTCGCCTTGGCGTCCGATTTCTAGCGCACTTTTCAATTGTGGACTCGAGTGTGAGAGCGCAACTAAGGCAAGTAATTTGCAATATTAAATTTCAATTAAATATAATTTAAATTAATTATAATTTTATTTAATCACAATTTTTATTTAATCACAATTTTAATTAAGTAAATTTTGTAAGCAAGGAAAACACTTACATAACTGCTTGTAACGCACATCTGGCTCCAGCACATCGGCTATGTTCGGCTGTGTCGTTTGCGCAGCAGAGCTGCTCGGCAGCTGCTCCTGTTGCTGGGAATGCACTTGTTTAGTTGTATGTAGATCTTTAGCCGCTGCAGCTTTATATTCAGCATCGATTAGAACATTTTTGATTTCTTCAGCGCGTTTGAGGTAGGTAAGTGCACGATTGCGCAAAGCCAAACGTTTGGTGGCATCTGCTTCCTCAGTGATGAGCGGCACAAAATATTGCAACGCGCTGCAGTATAAATAATAAGCCTCTTTATAATTTTGCTTTTCATCATATTCGACGGCTTTGGTGACAAGGTCGGAAGCCTTTTGTAAAGTCTATTAAAAAATGGTAATTAAAAATATATGAAAAAGATGTATGTAATAGAGCCTACATGTTCCGTGGGCAAAGTTTTGAGATCGATGAACGGATGTGCAAAAAACGAATCGAATGAAATACGTTTGGCAGGATCGTGTTCCAGTAAACGACAAAGCAGATCATGACACTCATTGCTAATGCTTGCATTCGCCGGTATGGTTATTTTCTCTGCATTGCGTATGCGCTGTAAAAGCTCTTCGATACTCTTGGAAGTGTATGGCGCTTTGCCAAAAAGGCATTCATATAAAATTACACCAATACTCCATAAATCGGCTTTGGCGTCATATTGATGTTTACGGACTATTTCCGGTGCCATATAAAGTGGTGAGCCCTTAAGTTGTTGATTGATCTCACCCAATTTCAAATGTTGCGCAAAGCTGGAATTTAAAAACAAAAATATAAATATATACACTTGTGTTTATGTATGTATATGTGTGGTTACCCGAAATCTGCCACTTTTAATATCACATTTGGATTACGTGTTAATAATAAATTTTGTGGTTTCAAATCGAAATGACAGATATCATTTGCGCGCATATACTGCACCGCAGCTGCCAATTGACGCAGAAAAAATCGGCAAGTGGCCTCCGGTAATGATTTCTTCGAACGTATGAAGGCCGATAGATTGCCAGCATTACAAAATTCCAGCACAATGTAAATCTTCCTAAAAATATAATATTACAATTCATAAAAGGAATCATAAAAAAAATTATGCACATACTTATCATCCCAAAAGAAGTCTTGTAATGTCACAATGTACTTGTGGTTGAGTGAACGCAGTAGCCTTATCTCGGTAATAAGATTTTCGCGTGAACTATCCGATAGCGTGGACATTTCTACAATCTTAATGGCATGATAGCTGCGCTCCTTCTTGTGGCGTGCTTTGTAGACCGTTGAATAGCTACCAACTCCAAGCTTCTCCAGCAGGTCGTAGTCGGTGATGCGGGGCAGGGTCATGTTGAACGTGAACAAATTATGTCATATACCAACCCGCTAATTTTTGTTGACGCACACTACACTACACTTCACTTACTCCATTTGTTGTGGTCAATTTGTGAACAAAAAATATGCGCAAAGGAATAAAAACCAAAAAATATAAACGAAGAAATTGAAATGTTGATAATGCAATCAGCTGTTAATTGAAAACGTTGCCGTAGTATATGAAAACTGTTTACAATTTTTTAACTAATTGGAAAGGATCCAATAAATGTATTTTATATCTTATAATTTTAATACATATTTTCAAAATGTCAATATTTGTTATAAGACTCAATAAATATATTTTTAAAATGTTTTTCCTGTTACACACATCGAGATGTACTGCTCTAGCAAGTTATTTCGCATTTGTACAAATTTTATCCAACACTGAACTAATCGATTACTCTCTCGATAACAAAACTTATTAGACAATTGTCAAAGTGGAATTATTCACATTTCGTGGAGCGCATTTTTCATAAACAGTAATGGTTTAGTGGCTTATTTACTTTGTTTACATTAAAATTATACTATTAATATAAATTATTACAAAAACAGTGTATGGTGCACAAATATAACTACCAAAAATAATAATTAACTCATTAAAACTATTGAATGAATGCTATTTCTGTTTGACAACTTGCCACAGAGTTGGGGTGACGCCCTACCTTAATCAGCAAACAACATTAATTAATGCACAAAACAATTTAATGAAGTGATTCTAATCTATTTGCAGCCACACATTTTCTACATAAAAGTTATTTATTTAAACGAAAATCAAACGACCCAGTTGCAGCTACATTGCTAAGGCTTCAACATGAATTATGGCCGCAAAACACCGTCCACGTATCGCTCCAACCATTCGGTGTACTCCCACACTACTGGCAGGTCAGTTCACATTTTGAATATTTTGTTGGTACATAAATATGTAAATATGTGTTTTTTACTTTCCACCAGATCCTCGACAAATTTACATTCGATAAAATCGCGGTCCATGCGCTCGGTGCGCGTGCCATGGTATCAGCGCCCTATTTTGAAAAACAACCAATACATAGATATACAGAAGAATTCAATGCTAATTGGAATATTCGCCATTGTAAGTTTGCTAGATCAATATAAAAATAATATTTTTTCTTAATTACTAAAAACATTTTATATTGCAGTTTCTTGCACTTTTCACCATTGGCACTGCAATTTTCGATATCTACTGCCTAGCTATGGCTGCACCTGGCTCAACTCACTATGGTTACTATATAATCTCGTATGAATTTGTTTATGTCGGTAACAAACATGGTAAACAGCTCTATTGCAATATCTCAGTAATATAGACATGTTTATTTAATATTTTGTTATTTTTACAGTGCGCAACATGCTTATTGTGTTTGCCTTATTTTCTCTAATACTGGGAATAGTTATATTATTTACAAGTATTTTGCTTGTAATTGCACTTAGAAAGGTAAATGTGACTTTAGACAAAATATATACAAATAAATTATACTTTTCCTGTTTCTTTACGTTTACAACATGTTCTTTGTTAACATTAATTTTTCTTTTTACTCATCATACACACTATTTAATTTTCTTAACCGATTTCTTTTTGACTTCACTTCATCTACTAACATTCGTATTATTCCACAAGCTACTTAAAAAAGGAAAGAAACGAAAGCACTTCGTTTTCATACCGGTACGACGCATTAAATAAATATAGTACATACATTTCACATATTTAAACACAAGTTTTTATATTATTTGATTCACTTGCTTATGTGTGCGCGTACTATTTTAATGCAAACAATTTAGTAATTTAAGTATTTTTCTTTCATAGGAGTACGAGCGCAAAATTCTGCCTTGGTTAAACACATTTGCTGTGTTTACCATTTGGCGCTCATTAGCTTTGATATTCTTCGCAATAGTTAACGATTTGATTTTCGCTTACAATATTCTTATGGTATTGCTATGGAGTATCGCTTTAGTCGTTTGCATCTATGGCTGGTGCGTGGTGTACTCATTATTCCTCGAGTTGACCAACTTGACGAAATTGGAGGATTTGGCACATTTACGCGTAAGCAGCATGAAATTCTGAAATAATTCAAACATTAGTGTACAAAATATTTTTAAATAAATTATAGATGGGCACGATGGCTTCCTTGCATGCATCAGCTGCGAACTCATTAGCTGGTTCTCGTCCAACTACACCGCACAGCACCGTATCTACTATGCCTGTGGGTTAAAATACACTTAACAAAGCAATTAGCAACGAAAATATTTTTTCTACTTTTCCGCAACGCATCATGACTATATCAGTGCAAATGTATACCGTCCAAAATTCTTAGATTTACATATAAATATATATTTTTTACACAACATGTTAGACACGAATCTCAACATTCCACATGTATTCATTTTTTTAAATATATACCTATATACTTAAAATATAAGCTAGAAGCTCGAAATATAATAGCATAAGTGTATTAAGAACATGTAATTTAAAAACAGTGCCTTAGAACTTCTACATATCTGTTATGTACAATTTATACAAGAAAATCATTTTTTTACAATTGAAAAATCATAATTTGTATGCAGTAATGTTAAACTTTAATTGTTAAACAATTATTCTTAAAATTAATAAGCATAAAAACATCATTCCACAGATTTGTATAGCTGACAAAAGTATTTATGAAATTTAAGCACATTTAACCGTCCAATTCACATTTTATTGTGTCGATTTTTTTTTAAATAAATTTGTAAAATTTAATAAAAACTCAGTTTTCATATATTATACATTATATTAATTGAACTACAATAATATCCGGGGTATTCGACAAATTGCAATTTGCAATAATAAGAGCATCTTTAAATCAGGGAATTATATTAAAATATTTGTAAACAATGACAAAAGTGATTGTCAATATCAGCTGATAAGCTGGCATACACTTCTAAATAAATATAAAATAAAATTACATATTTCAAGGAATACTAACAAAAATTGCGGACACCTTAAAAAACACAAATTATTACGGGATCGTTACAAACCTCAGATTTTAATAAAAGAACTTTATATAGAAGCTGTAGCCTCCAGTTCAACTGTGTTATTTCAAGAATAAAAAAGGAGCTGACAAAAAAACAAAAAGGAAGAAGTTGTTCTAAGACAACGCGTCCATGACAATCGCATTCATATAACTAGAGTAGAAAGAACGCTAATGTTCCCTCCGCAAAATACTATAGAATTACTAAACGAACAAGGAAAACGTTAATTTCGTTTGCATCCTTCGCGACAATTTGCATACAAGAATTCGATTTTCATCGGTTTGTTCGGAGATTGTACTGTATTTTTTTACATTAATCCATGCCGCATTTTGTGAAGAAACCTCGTCAAATAAACCCGTTTTCCATGGCCCTATTTTGATAAATTAGTTTGAACGACAACTAAATCTAAATGCTAGAGGTCAAATAAGCGGCTTTAGATGAGAAAATATCGTGTGAAAATATCCAGATCGACATCTCAAACTGAGGTCGGACTGACTTGGCTAAATCGACTCAGCTCGTACGGTTAATCCTATACATATATAAAAATGTTATAGTCTCCTGCGTTTCCTTCTAAGTTTTACAAACATCGTAGTTAACGTAATATATTCTAAAATTTCTGTCAAAACTTCAATAAACAATCAAGACTCACCAATAATTAGCAAAATAAACGTTAATCCAACACAGAAATAACACTTTTAACGGTACTTGATTTTTTATTAGAATTTAATATGGTTTTACACTAAACTTACGCGAAATATAAACAAATTGTACGAATTGCTGTGGACTATAACAAGTATTTATGGAATTGTGTACTTTTTCATAAGTAAATTAAAGAAAATAAATTCTTACATTAAATTAAACGTGACGGCAAGTGTAGGACCGGAGGTCTAACAATTACTTTACTTTATACGGTGGATGGGTTTTTAAGCACAATATTATATAAATTTTCAGTGACGTTTACTACAAAAACATTATTGCGAAATCCGGTACTCAAAAAAAAACAGCACAGGTGCTGGCGCTTCATGTCGCTCATAATGGTTTTAGTTTTCGATACACAATTTCACTTCTGGTTGTTATGGTTTTGTAGTAAAAATCACCGTTAATTCGCACAAATATTTCTCGAAAGTCACCTAAATGAGTAGCCATTTCAAATTTATAATTCAAAACTGCTTGCAATTATAACATTTTTCTTCTTTTTCTTTCACTAAAACTAAACATAACTTTACTTCTTCATTTTAAAGGTCATTCAATGTCATTTAGCCATGATTAATTCATTATTATCGCTGGCATTCACTTTAGCCAAGTCCTCCACCAGCGTGTCGAGCAGTGCCCGCAGCTCTTGTTGTGCAAATTCCTGTGGCAATGGTAGGCGTTCCAATGCAATCTTTATAATCAAACATGGATTCAACACGGGACAGACAAGCAATACGCCGCGCACGAGACAAGCGAGATTTTGCGCGATCTCACTTTGACATAGACGGTGTTTGGCCGTGGGGCAGGGCAAGAGATTAATGCGTGAACATAAATCAGCCAACTGTGGTTTCAAATTCTCCCAACGTGCCTCGATATCCGCCTCCGTCTTTAGCGATTTCAAACTCTTGAACTGCATGGGAATGGAAAGCGCGAAATTAATGAGTTTACAAGAATAAAAATAAAAAAATTATGTGAACTTACCTTCTCATTAATATCGATAAAATCTAAGAAGATTTGTCCCTGACTCGACCAATTGGGTACTTTTATGGTTTTACTTGCCTCGGCACCCTCGAACTGGCTCAACAAATCATGTAAATAGTCGAGGTTGTCTGTGTGTGACAAAAAACAAATAATTAGCTCAATTTATACTAAAGAACTTGCTGCCGTACTTACCATTAATAATTGCATCGGGTGCGAGATGTTGGAAGATGACTTCATGCGCCAAAGCCCATTGTTTGGCCTTTAGCAAATATTTTGCTTGCAATTGGTAATTGCCAATAGCGCCTGCTTTCACTGCTTTAGCATAGTCAATCCATTTCTCTGGCACGCCCAAATTATTGATAACGAATTTCTCCTTCTCCGACAGCGCGACATCTTTGGAAACACACACATAACGGTAAAGTACATTCTGTACAGACAATTCACGTTGATTGCGATCTTTTATATGCAATAACACGAAAATGGCCCATTCCCAGAGGTCATTACACTCCAGTTGACTGGCGAAGCCAACATGCAATTGACTTTCGCTTAGCTCGGAACAGTGACGATAACCGATGGCCTCCAAAGTTTGCAGCAGTAACCAGCTGCAAGAAGAAAAATTAGTAAAATAATACAATTTCGATTTTATCGGATTATTATTATGCATACCTCAAGCGATAGTCCATGGGATCGGCGGTGTGCGTGGCTGGATTCAGCAGACTCTCCATTGGATGACTGCGTTTGGAGTAAAGCTGCAGCAAGTGGTAGCGCAAATCGTAAATCACGTGTTTTTCATTTAAATTAGTCTTGTCCATATAACATGGCGTTGGCGGCATTGAGTAGAACTCCTCCGACTTGAATGACTTATCGTAGGCCAGAAGAGCGTCGGTTATGGATGCAGTGGGCGATGAGAGATACCACAATTGAATCTGTAAATAAAGGATTTTTTGGGTATTTTCTTTTTTTTTTATTTTTTAAATTAATTTTTCACTTTTTCATTTTTAATTTTTTTTTCTAATTATTATAATTTTATTTTTTTTTTAGTATTATCTTTTTAATTAGGTTTGATTTATTTTTTGTAATTGTTTTTTAAAAAAATATCTACGTACAATACAACAACAATGCACTCACCGCCAGCACTTTGATCCATTCAATGCCATCCAAGGTGTTGATGGGTCCATGTCCGGAATCCATTAGCGCCACCCCGGCTACCAGCATGTATAACTTCAAACGTTCTAATTGTATAAATTTGTCGGCTTCATTTTTGTGCCACGCGGCCAATTGATCTTCCATTAGCTGACGCACAGTGGGTCCGGATGAGAGTTGTGACAGCAATAAGGACAGATTCACATCGTCGTAACGCACAGCCAGCTCACATGCTTCGTTTACTTTGTGGCACATCACCAGATCCAACAAGTGATCGAGATACGTGTTTTTGGACACACTCTTCGTGAGTAAATCTTTCTCGGTTAAGGTATTCTCCAACCATTCGGAGAGTAAATTGCGTCGACACATAACGGCAAAATGCGAAGCTGGTTCGCGTCCCTCCAACTCTTCATGCTCACCCCATAATGCCAAGCACAGTGACCACACCGAAACGGCGTACTCCTCCAGTGGACTCAAATTTATTTGTTTGATTGCTTCGTCGAGATGTTTCACAATCAAATCGGTGCCATTGTCCGACTTTATCCAAGGACATTCACTGCCCTCAATATCTTCTTGCAGAGAGTTATGCAATTGCAGCTCTAAATGTGTGACAATGCTCTCTTTGAAGTGTTCATAGTGCATGACTGAGGATATTTTGACGTGCTGCAATACAATGCCGCTGAAATCGTTTGAGCCACGACCCTTGAATATATATGGTGCGGCATCGTAGAGGTGTTCATCTGCGAAATGAAAAAAAAAAACTATGAAAAATGGATTCTTGACCACAAAGCTTAAAACATCAGCAACAACAAAAACACAACAACAGTAACAAAAATCACAACAGCTAAATCCACAACAAAAAAATTTCACAACAAATTTTACAAAAGTAACAAACTGCACAACAACAAATTTCAGAAACACAAAAATTCACATCAACAATAAAATTCACAACAACATCAACAAAAAAATATCACAACATCAACAAGAAAATATCACAACATCAATAACAAATATTCACAAAAATATTAGCAACAAAATTCACAACAGCAACAAAAATCAAAACAGCTAAATCCACAACAAATTTTACAAGAGTAACAAACTGCACAACAACAACAAATTTCAGAAACACAAAAATTCACCACATCAACAATAAAATTCACAACAACATCAACAAGAAAATATCACAACATCAATAACAAATATTCACAAAAATATTAGCAACAAAATTCACAACAACGAACAAGTAAGACTATTACTTTGCACTTCACGGTCCAGATTCTTGTGTGTAGATGGCACAATAAGCGTGTTCTGTGGACCAAAGCCCAGTTTAAAGCGACGATAGTTATGAATGCCCAAATCCGCTGCCCATATGCCTTTTAATTTAAACGCCAGTGAATTTGCAATTGGCACTTGCTGCGCTAGCCCTTTCACAATGGCCACTTTGGGTCTCACGGAGAATTTCGGCAATTTAACCACTTGCAGGGGCGCTGTTGAGTCACTGCCTGCGGCGGGCGTCGATCTCTACAAATAAAAAAATAAGGTTATGAGTAGAGCTTCACTATCCATAAAACCACAAGCAATAATTTACCTCGGTGTCAATTTCGCGCATAATACTCATAACGGAACCCGACGAAGATGGTGGCAATGGCGAGTTCTGCATAACGAAATCCAATTGACTTGATGCTTCCGATAGGGCACCGCCAAGACCAGCTTCCTTCCACAGGGAATTCTGCGATGAAGTGCGCATATCTTGCAGATGTTTTCCAAATAAGCCGGCGCGACGGCTCCGATTGCGATTAAAATCAGAGTAATTATTTTCAAGCTCGGCGCCAGTGCCCTCTGACTTATTGTCCAAATCGTCGTCGCCGAAGAAAGAAGCCTTCATCAATTGCAGCTTGTGTGAGTCGGTGCCGGCTTCGCGCGCCAAAAAAGCTGTTGGGCTAGTTACGCGTGGAATTTGTTGTTGTTGCGCTTCATATAACGAATAATCGTTGCCATTTGCTTGGAGAAATTCTAATGCAAATAATAAATTATATCCAAATAAAATTATAAAAAAAAAAAAACAAAAAATACGTACGTGTCTTATCCATCAACATGAACTCGGCGGACGCATCCATGGGATAAAAATTTCCACTAGCGGATGCGAGACTTTTTGGATCTAGCGCACGTGCAGCATCCTCGGAAATCTGCGAATCACAAGAAAATAATTTGGAATTGTTTGGACGCTGTTTCTATATTTATATTTATTCTGCTAAATATTTACCTTTTGGGCATTCTTCAAGGCCGCCATTGTAATTTTATCAGCTGCAGCGACGTTGGCTGCTGCAACTTGGCCTGCTACCACAGCTGTTGCACCTTGGGCACCTGCTGCCACACCCATCTTTGCTTTTTTCGGATCCGTTGGCACACCATCGTCCTCTTCATCGCTGTCGTTGAGCCCATATTTTGAGAAATGTTTCACCCGAAACACCCAGCTACCCGTTTCCGGACGATATTCTATGAAACGTGTATCATTTTTATCACAAACTCTGCGCAATTTTGCTTCCCAATCCATATCGGCCAGACGCACTGGATCCTTAATGGGCTCGTGCTTGGTTTTGTCATGCGGCCAAACTTGATCCAAAGTCACCTGCGCTTCGCGGTTTAAGCCGTTGCCAATGGGTGGCTTATTGTCATCATCAGGATAAATGATAATTTCCTTGTTTCGGAAGTGTACTACAGCGAAAACAAAATGTTTGTTATTAATTTATCTCCCTGAAAAGTCCAAAAACTACAGGCTTACCGATTTCATCCAGATTTAAGCCGGCCACGTCCATTTCCTTGCCGAAGTACACATTTCCATATCCCTCGCGGCCCACCGTAAAGTTGGGCACAATACAAGACCCATCCTCGGCAAGATAAGACTTGAGATCGTCCAGTGAAGGTATCGTATAGTAACTAAAATTCAGAATATGCCAATCAGAAAGTTCTCCTTAGTTTGTACTCTATCCTAACTTACCCGATGCGTCTCAGCGTAATGCCGGTAGGGTGTTCTTCGTATTCC